AGTTACTGCTGTCAGTCGTCTAACATCATTACATCATTTTTATTTCAATCTAACACAGGCAAAGAGAAACCACGCTGCTGCTCCCAGATCTGATTATAGAATAAAGACTGTCTTATAAACGCCTCAAATTAAAGACAACAGCATTTTATGCTAAAATAAAGTGCTGAAACAGCTTCAATTGAGTTGTTAAGGCTAAAACAAGGCCAAGTCACGCTAAACCTGAGCAGGACCGAAGGTAAAGAAGCATAACCAACTAAAAGGAGCTAAAATCCTGGATAAAAGCTAAATAGCAAAACGCTAGCTGAAAACTAAACATACTAATATCCATCCATTAGCTTTACCCGCTTCTTCCTTTCAGAATCACTGGTGCCCATACCGAGCAGTCAGTGTGCCGGGGCGGGGTACACCCTGAGCAGGTCGCAAGTCCATCACATACTAAAATGTTAGCTAAAAGCTATAAGCTAAAATGTGCCAAGTGCTGGGTAAAAGCTAAACAACAAAATGCTAGCTAAAGTCTTAAAGCATGAAAATGCTAGCCAAAGGCTGAAAATAGCAGGACACTAGAAAGCTAGAAATAAAAAACAAAACTACATGTAGCTCAAAGTAGAAAAAACTTTTGTAAAATTAAATATAGGAAAAGGCTAACTAAAAGTTTCCTAATAGCAAAATTCTGAAAGTATCAAAATAGAAGCTAGAAGCTAAAAGTAACAGAAGCTAGCCGTTTTTTATGCTAGTAGCATAAGAAGCTAAAGTAAAGCAATAAATTAAACCATTTTTTAAAGAGTGTTTTTAAAGAATTCAAGAGGGAAAAGTTTGTAAATAAGTTCATTGTTATAAAAAGTTTAAAAGTTAAAGAAGGCACAGAACACATCTAATGAATGAGCTGAATGTTTTGATGTTTGATCACTTAAAACAGCACAAACTATGCCAAAGTACTTAGATTGCAAATACATACATGTATGTACAACAAATATACATACATGTATGCACAACAAATACACACAGGAAAGTACAGAAGAGCATTGCATTCATCTAATAAAAAATATTTGACTCCTGGTCTCATAATTACAAGATCAGGATCTCATAATTACAAGATCAGGATCTCATAATTACAAGATCAGGATCTCATAATTACGAGATCAGGATCTCATAATTACAAGATCTTTTCTAGAGAAAAGATATCAGAATCATGAGATATAATTATGAGATACGTTATCATAATTACAAGATCCTGATCTCCTGTGTATTTTGAGCAGGTAACGCTCCTGGATGTGAATGTGTGTAATGCCGAAAGCACGAGTGCCCAGAACAAGCTGCATAATGTTAATTCACCAGAGTTAAATAAAGTTGTGACCCAGGGTTGAAACAGGAGGAAGTGTGTGCTCTTTGTGTGCATACAGGACGTAATTGAAGCATTTCAGAGGCATTAGCTATAGCCGTAGCATCCTGTACTGCAGGAAGAGAGCAACTTCCAGTATGTCAGAGTGGGCTTTTCGCTTGAACAACCGCAAGGAAGATGCCTGCGTAATGTCGACATATCGTTCATACAGCATCATACCATCTCTGTGATGTTTTGTTCGGTCTGTACTGAATCGGACTCTTATTTTGAAATATTCATTTGCTGAAAYCGGAAGCACAACTACCTGCTAAATGGCGGTGTTATGTTTGTGCCGAAGCTGCTGAAGCTGAATTAAACAGAACACTCTAACTGATGTGCAGGTGGATGGATTAATAAACAAACCCACATTAATAGATACAACACCATCCACATTAAGTAAACTCAATATTTCCCAATATTTCATACCTAAGAGGAAATAAAAGCATGTAAAATGTGATAGTGCCGTCATTGTTTACTTTTCCTGTAATGTAAGTCAGCTGACTCTCTTTAACTTATCCYGTAATTATGAGATCTTATCTCATAATTATGAGATCTTTTCTTGTAATTATGAAATAAGATCTCGTAATTATGAGATCAGGAGTCCTATTTTTTTTATTTGGTGAATGCAGTGCTCTTCCGTAGGAAACTCGTACAGTGATAAGCTTTAAAAACAGACGATCTCTCAGTGATGCTGAACATCTTTCGATCTAAGAGTCTGCCATTCTGTCCACTCATTGTCCCCTAACCTTTGACCCCCATCAGGCCACCAGGATAAACTGGGCGTGGCTGAGACCAAGCTGCTCCACACCCTCCACTGGATGCTCCTGGATGCAGCCCAGGAGTGCAACCATGAGCCCATCACGGGCCAAGGGTGGTCTCGGGGCGGCAGCGGCAGCAGCTCCTTCCTGCAGCCCGTGGGGAACCAGGGCTCTTCCCCTGGAGCTCCAGGCCTGGGCTCGGGCTCGGGCCAGGTGGGATCGGGGCCCCGGCACAGCAGCTCCCTGCTGGAGGACGAGGAGCACGCCCGGACCAAGCTGTTCCAGAAGAGCATGGCCACGGTGGAGCTGTTCGTGTTCCTGTTCGCTCCGCTCATTCATCGCATTAAGGTCCGTACCAGCTCAGGATTGATTTCTGTAACACAAGGAACCGGGGCAGCACTTTCCACGGTTGCTCCAGGATTAATCTCTACTACCTTTTTAAGCACATATTGAGAGTTTAACAGCTCAATTCAGCTTCTTTCTGAAATATTGATCAGTGCTCACTCACACCCATATCACTCACACTAACCTCTGTCTATTGATCTGTGTGTCCAAACGTAAAACGGTCTGATTACAACAYCAGGAACCACCTATTCTAACCCATAAATTAACCTTTACATGACGGGGTGATGTTTTCACATCAGGAGTCGGACCTGACCTTCAGATTGGCCAGCGGTTTGGTGATTTGGCAGCCAATGTGGGAGCACCGGCAGCCCGACATCTCGGCCTTCACCGCCCTCATCAAACCAGTCAGAAACATTGTGACAGGTAAAAGAAACGCTCTCCCTCAGCTTTTTAAATCCCGCTTTTTCTATCTTCATGATTAGGATGATTGAAAATAATCTGATTCACGTCCYGACAGCAAAGAGGAACTCCCCAGTCAACAATCAGTGCAGTCCCTGTGGATCTGGCAACCCAAGTCCCATGGTGAGTCAGTGATTCAGTCTGCATGCTGAGTCAGCGTTCACACGGTTGTCTCCTTATTTTTAGTTTTTTGTTGTTTTTTATTTTTTTTGGACATTTTTTTCTGCCAAGTTTTGCACACTTGGTGCTATTTTTACCCCTGCCACTTTGGGTTTTAGCTTTTATTTTGCTGCTTTTCAGCTTTTAGTTATAATTTAGCTACATTTAGCTTGAAGCTCTGTCCTGTGACTTTTAGTTATGGTTTTGATGTTTTTTGCTTTTAGTAGCAATTCTGCTACTTTTTGTTGAAGCTGCATTCTGCCACTTTTAGCTTTTAGCTATCACTCTGATGCAGCGTTTCCCCTACCATTATTCAAGGTCCACCCCCCCACTCCCCGCCAACAAGA